CTGCCAATCAATAATCCATCCACCTCAACCTGTAGAACCAGTCGGGCGCGCCCCCATGGAAGCTCCCCAGCACACGGACCTTCAAGATGTCGCTCGTCAATTCCAGCTCGGACAGGGCGGACGGCGACCCCAGCGGTGTCCACGGCGGCCGCCGAAATAGCAGATTCACCTTCCGAGCGCCCCGGATGAAGCGAGACTTGGTCACGCCCCGCCCATTTTCGCTCGCGTCCTTTGCCGCGCAAAAGAGCCCCTCGGCGTGCTTCACCTCCTTGACGTGCTGGGCCATGCCTGATTGCATCATCCCCATGGCCACGGTGAGCCCGGTGCGTCAATCCCTCCAGCCTGGGTCGGAGTAGCTCTTGATGCTCTCGTGCCTCTCCCAGCCCACCTCCTTGGGATCCTCCAGCATCCGACTCTCGAAGCGCTCCAGGTAGGGCGCTGCGGTCGCCGAGAGATCCGCCAGAGGCAGGCCCGCGGCCCCTGGAGGCGGTGACGAAACCTGGTCCGCCACCATCCTGCACAGGTCGCCCTTCTTGATAAACGTAGTAGATGATGTAGTCTGCTTTTTGCCGCGCCCCCCGCCTGCCGCATAGCCCGAGCTGTCGGGCCCCCGCAGACGGCGAAGCACCGCCTTGCCGTCGCCGAAGCCCCCCCGCGCTCCAAGCGCGGCGCGGCGATCCCAGATGTCGTAGAAAACCAACCCTGCGCTGGAGCCCAGTCGCCTCCGACCACGAGCTCGGCGCAGTCGCCTCATTGGCTGTGCCAGCCCGCCCGGCAGCAAGAGCACGAAGCGACCGAACCGTCCGACCGGTACGCAGCCAAGTCAAACGCAGCTGCTCCGCCGCGAAGCCCGAGCTCGAGGCCATCGTCGCCAACGGCCCCGTCGGTGAAGGCAGGCTCCGAAGTGGGCCCCTCTCTCGGAAGTCCATCATCATCTGGGGGGGGCAAAGGAAGCACCCGCTCACCTGGAGCGCGACGTAGATTGGGCGCAGTGGTGCAGCTCAGGTCCGCGATATACAAGACACGGCCTGAACTCGAATCGCCCCGCAGCCCAGCGTCAACTCGGCTAGCGAGGCTCAGCGCGGCGAGCCCGAGGGCCTTGACTCTCCTGCTCCACCCTCGGCCTGGCGATCTCCCCGCTGACGATCCCGACGCAGCACAGACCCACAGGAGCGAGCACAGCAGTGCGAGACTGACCGAAGGGACGCCGCTCCAAAGCGCACCCTCGGGCCACCCCTATTCGTCATCCTTGGGCGCCGCGCCCCGAGCCGACGTCAGGTGCTTCTGGATCTGCGCCCACTTCCTCAGCTTGTCCGTCACTTCGACGTCGGCCAGGGGGTCCTCGACGGTGTCCTGAGAAGTCAGCTCCGGGTACTCCTCCCCGAGCGACCAACCAACCTTCGACTTCCACTTGGCCCCGCTCGCGTTGCGAGGCCTCTTCCAGTCGTGCTCGCACGTGACGCCCTCGTGGGCCTTCATGATCGCGTGCATCCTGAAGCAGCTCAGCTCGCTCGCCTGGGAGTTGATCAGCCCCTTGAAGCCCCCGAGGCCATCGTGCGGTCCAGAGCCATGGCGAGGGCCAGCATCTCGTTGGCGATGGGAGCCTTAGTCAGCTCTTTGTTCCTCAGCCACTCCTGCACCTCGAGTTCGGCAGAGCGGCCCCCCCTATAGACCTTGCTCAGCACCGTCGGCGCCACCCGAGTCTTGATCCCCCCAACGCGCATGTTGGGGATGTGTTCGTAGCTTTTCAAGGTCTGGGGGAGTGCGTCCCTGGGATTCCTGCTCTCCAGCTCGAGCTGGGCGGTCGTGGCCGAGACCGAGTCCGAAGGAACGGACGGGGGCCTCTCCTTCTCCGGCTCCGAGGACGACCTTCCTGCTTCACGTCCGCTTCCCTTCGCCCCCTGATCGGAGTCGCTCTTCACCAGTTCCTCGTGCTCGTTCAGTTTGGCGATGAACTGGTCCAGTTGCGCCGACGTGGGCACAGCACTCTCCTCAGCGGAGCTGCCCGACACACCGGCAGGTGCGGCAGGCGGCCCCGTCCTGCTCTGCTTCAGCGCCTCCGTGATCGCCACCAGCCCTGCTCGCAACTCATTATGTCCTCGTTGCAGCTCGGCGTACAACCCCTTCGCGTCAAGCTCATCGTCTGAGTCGGGCACCGCGGTCCCCAAAATCAGCTCGCCCTCGGACACGTCAGACTCTGAGTCGGAATCCGAGAGCCCTTGCCACTGGCGGAACATGTAGTTCAGCAGCCACCCCCCGAAGATCACGCCCTCGAGCCCCATCGGGATCGTCTCCAGCTCGCCAGACTCTCAGGCCTCCACCAGGAGCCCCCAGTAGTCAGACACCTCCTCCGCCGTCTCCTTCGCGGCCACCGCCGCCTCGTACATCTTGTGAAAGAGCGGCCCCAGCTGGAAGTACCTCCAGATACGCCAGGCGGCGAAGGCCCCACCAGTGAAGCCTCCCCACGAGCGGTACAACCACCCGTAGCAGAACAGGTTCGAACCCATGGCCCAGATCCAGTTCACAAGGCCTGCCTTCTTCGAGACCTTCTCTTGCCGCTCGACTTCTAGAAGCCCTTCTTCTTGCCCGAAGCCTTGGTCAGCTTAACGTTCTCGGCGTCCAGCTCCTTGCGCGCTATCAGACGAGAGGAAGCGGCCAGCACCATATCCCTCGTCTTGTCCGTCAAGCCAGGGAACGGCGTCCAGTTGCTGATCCCCCGTGGGGGCTTTGTGAAGACCGACTGCTTGTCTTTCAGGCCACCATCTGCACTCTGAGATTCGGGGCCACGCATGTCCACGTCTGGTCGGCCGCCTTCCCGACCCGCTCCACCAGAAGCGTGACCACGCCCGAGGCCTGCCCCTGAGGGAAGTAGTAGATCCTGTCCCACTTTGCCCAGCCGCCCATGACGAGCGGCGCGCTGCCGACGACGCCGACGTCGGCCGCAACGTCGATGAGCTCGGCCTCCTCCGCCTCGGCGGTCTCGCACGCCTCGTCCTCCCCGGTGTCGTCCTCCTCCTCGCCCGCGGAGCGCAGGCCGAAAAAGTCCAGGACCTGGTCCTGGCTCAGGCCGCTCCCTGCGGCCAGCACACCCCCTCCTGGAGGTCACCCGAGAGGCCCAGGAACGCGAGCACAGCGCCCGCGAGCGCGAATGGCCGCGGAATCGCTCCGCGGTGGGGGGGCCGTGCCCAGGCACGACCGCTGAAAAGCCCGCCCGCGGGTCTCGCCCGTACCGACTTGAGCCCAAGGGGGGACGGGGGAGGACGGAGGGGGGAAGGCGGCAAACAGACTACGATGGGGATGTAAAATTAAGTTCAAGAACCACTAGGAGCGGGTTTATCCTCGACCTAGCCCCGTCCGACTCTGACCTTCTGGGGGGTCCTCGTGGTCGCGGCTGGACGCAGGTCGAAAAGCAGGCCAGGATGGACTCCAGCACGGTCGGACCTGGGACAGGTCCGACCATCCTTCAAGAACGTGAGACCCTCCGAAGGCCAAACCCCATAGAAAATTCGAGGGTACCTTTCCCCAGGATGCACAAGACGATTTCAACAAACACGAAAAACACAAGGGTGCCCTCCCCGAGCCGACCTCGATCTTGCACCTCGGTCCGACCGTGAGGGTCCAGGGATCGGCTTTGACCAGACTTTGGTCGGAGGCGGGAGAGGGAGGGCGGCCTGGGCAGAAGGCCGCGGCCCGCCCTCGGAAGGCATCGACATCTTCTGGTGGCTTCAGGGCGGCCCCTCCAGAAGGCAGAAGGGCCTCCAAGAAGCCACCTTTCGAGTAGGTGGTCGACTACATAATAGATAACATATTTGCCCAAACATTGTTCCGTCTGTCAAATCTATGAAAGATAAATAGAATGCTCAATAGATCTACTGAACAGTCTACGCATGTTTCGTCGATTCGACGGAAAAGCCAACTATAAATCAATTCTGTAGTCGATCCACTGCTCGAACCTTACTTCTGGCGCGAGAGAAAGGGGTCCCGAGGAGAAGGGGTCCTGGACCCCGGGGGGGGGGGGGGCTTTCTGACAGGCCGCCCGGGACCCAGGAAAAATGCCCCGAGAGAGGCCGAAAACGGGGAACAGCTCAGGTCGGGCGCTGGCAGTACTGGGTTTAGTGGGGCCTGATTGAATGATGCCGGGGGGCGCCCAGTCCACGAAGCGGAACTGTAGCCACCCGAAGAAACACCAGCTCTTGCAGACCTGGTTGAGCGGTTTCGTTTTTTTGGGGGGCTTCGGGGCAAAACCACTAATTGGCCGGCTTCCCCCTTCCCGAAGGCCCTGGCTATATCCGACTACTGGGACCCCCTTCCCTCGGGGAGGCCTCCTCTTCACAGTGGCCCCTCAGAGGAGGCCCCCCCCCCCCCCCCCACATGCCCAGGGCCAGGGAAGGGCCCCGAGAGGCCGAAAACAGGGAAGAGCTCAAGACCCCCCTTCTTCAGGGAGCCCTCCTTTTCACGGTGGCCCCTCGGAGGAGGCCTCACGGAGCCCCTCAGAGTAGGCCTCTTGACGGAGCCCTTCTCTCAGACAGCCCTCCTCTTCACGGTGGCCCAATCAGTCAGCATCGAATCGGGAAACCGGATCGGATCAGAGCGTGCATCGAATCGTCTTGCATCGGCACGAAATCGGTACCGAATCGGTTCGGCGACGCCAACATGCACAACAGCGCCACGCAGGCATCGGGTCGCATCGGACCGTCGGAGCATCGGAACCGAATCGGCTCGGGTCGGCCAACACCGACATCGAATCTGATCGATCGGATCGAAATGGGCTCTTCCATCCCCCCCCCTCCTCCCTTTTTCGGTGGTTCAAAGATGGGGTCCTGAGGGATGGGTGCCTCAGGATAGGAAGGCATCCACAGGTGGGTCTATGTTGTCTGAGGCACCTCGTCCTCGGGACCCCATCCCTCAGGACCCTATCTTTGAACCGCCCACCTCTGTGCGCCGACGGGCCTCCAGCGAGACCAGGTGCCCGAGGTCCGCCGCCAGCGCGGCCGCCGTCTCCGCGTCTCGCGCGCTGGCGCGGGCCACGCAGAGGTCCAGCTCCGCCCGCCTCTCGGCGCCCTGCGCGGCCGCGCCCCGCCGGCCCCAGAGCAGCGAGGCGGAGAGCCCGGCGAGGACCAGCGCAAGGGGGACGAGGACGCACGAGGATAGCAGATAGGCTCAGCTGTCCCGATGCGCAACACGCAGCACGTGGCGTGTTGACACGGAGCTCTGGCGCGATGCGTTCGCTGAAACGTGCGCCAACACGTGCCGAGCCAGCACGCAGCGTGTTGACACGGCCATGTTGAACACGGTACGTGTTGCGCTTCATCACAGGCGTATCAGGGCAGCTGAGCAGATAGAGCATCGACCAGGGCGAGATGATGGCCTCTGTCACCAGCGGGTCGGCCACCTCCGCAGGCCAACTGCGGGCGGGCTTCCTCCTCATCCTCCGGCCGCCCTGCTGCAGGCTGTACAGCGTGCTCAAGTACGTCCCGGAGTCGGTGCCCAGGTGCGCACACAGCAGCACCAGCCCCAGCACCACAGAGGCGACGACCACCAGAAGAGAGCAGACCGAGTACTGGAGCCAGTGGTCGCGGACCAGGAGATCTCGACGGGCCCGCACCTCACCGATCCAAACCAGACCTCCGCCCCCAGCCCCTGTTCGTCCGTCGTCGGTTTGGGGCACAGGCGCCTGCCCCACTGGCGCGGCCACGGGGGTCTGGACTCTCCACGGCCACGCGCGAGGCGCGGCTACCCTCGCGCTGACCCGCCCGAAGATGGGTACCTCTGCGGCTCTGGCCGCGACGCGCGAGAAGCGCAGCCGCCTCTCGCCGAGCCTCTCGCGCTCCCGCGGGACACCCGGCACACCTCCCGAGGGGCGGGGGCGGGCGAGGCCGCTTCGATCGGTCGCGCGCCCACTGCTCCGCGGCTCCCGTGAGAGCCGCGTCGCCCGGCAGCTCCCCGCCGGCCGCGGCCCCGGCCGCGGCGGCCTCGGCCGCGGCGGCGGCGGCCTCGGCCGCGCCCGGGCCCACGGCCACGCGGAAGCAGAGGTCCACCAGGGGAGCCGCGCGCCGCCGGAGGCCCAGGGCGTCCCCGGGGAGAACGGGCCCCAGGCCGCCGCGCACGGGCTCGCCGTTCCTCTGGGCGGGGGTGCCGCCACGGTGGGGCATGCTCGCCCTCTCGAGCCTCCTTCCGTCGTTGCCAACAAAACGTGCTCGCGTCGTTGCAGAAAAGGGGGCCGCCGACAGAGCCCTTCGCGCCGCCAAGATGTTCCCGGGCAGGCTGTGCTGCCCGGCGGCAGGGGAGGATAGGAGTGGAGAAAGCAGGCAGGCAACGACGACCGCGCAGGCGGGAGGCCGGAGTCAGGCGGGCGGGCGGGTTGGCGCGGGGCAGATCGCACCTCCCTGCGATTCGCGGCAACAGCCGTTACCCGCCCTCCCACCTTGTGGCGGCACGGTCGCGCCAGCGCCGTTTGGGAATGGCCAGGGGTAGCTAACTCCCAAACGGCGCCAGCCTCGGCCCCCTCTCCCCCCCTCTCCCCCCCAGTAACGGCCGTTATCGCCAGGGGATTCAAATTCATCAAGCCATGCCGAATCATCAGCTGCTGGCTGATGACCTTCGCACCTTTGCCAACAAATTCAAATGGAGATGGTTCCATGGCAGTCGCCGTGATTCTGCGTACATCAAGCTGAAAGGATCGAAGACCCCCGAATTCAACAAGATGTCCACTCCCTCTCTGGACTGTTGGATCTACGGCCTCCGCAAGGCCGTGGCGGCAGCGGCAAGCAAGTCGCAGCTTAGCCACCGAAGCAGACCAACCAACACGTTGCCCCTGGTCAAGCTGGCCTTCTCGTTGCTGCGCCGCACCAACATGGTGGCTGTGCCGAACGACAAGGAGGTCGGCTTCACGCTCGTCCGGCTCATGGACGACAGGCGCATTGACCTCGGCATACTCACCACAGACGTGTACAAAAGCTTGGATGAGTTCGATGTCGATTTCACCCATGTCTGGAAAAAGTACGCTCGCGTGGCAAGAGACATCGAGGACTACGAGGGGGTAGAGGGGCTTTCGGGGCAGATCATCCGCAGCATGTACATCAAAGGAGCTTCTCTAACAGCTCGTCTTGCCAAGACGTGCAAGACCCACAAGAATCCAGTGACGTTCCGGGCATTGCATTGTAGCGCACAGTATTCCTTCGCTGGGCTATCCAAGTGGGTATCGGGAGTTCTTCGAAGACATCTTTCCGATCTGCCCTGGTTGGTCCGCGATGCTGTCGATGCTGCGCGGCATCTTCGTGGCCGCCACGCTGCGCCAGGCACCCGCTTGGCGAAAATTGACATCAAGGACTACTTCATGTCTGGGTCCATGGACGAGTTAATACAGGATGCGACGTCTCACATGACAGGCGCTCAGAAAGCACTCGTTCAGCGTGCTTTGCAGTTACTACTTGCGCATCAGTACGTGTCATCACCACACTGGCCAAACCACAGGCACCAAGTCGTTGTGGGCTCTGGCATGGGATTGATCCATTCTGGGGAAGTGGCAGATGTGGCCCTTGCAAACCGTTTAGAATCCTGGGCGTGCTCGCAATATGTACGCATGCATTTCCAGGTATCTGTTTACATGAGGTTCAAGGACGACATTTTGATTGCATATCGTGACTTTGCAAAGTTCAGTGCCTTTCTTCGTATCATGCAACACCGATCCAGATATTTCCGTTTGGTTTTGGACGAAGGGCATGTCGAGGAGTCGCATTGGCTCCAACTGTCGGTTTGCATCGCAGGAGGAGCTTTTTCTGTAAAGCCAGCGTTTAAGATCACAACTTTGACGATCCCACTGGCGTCAACGAGTGCGCACCCGTGGTCTGTGCACCGGTCCTGGCCCAGGGCCATGCTCCAGACCATGCTAGCATTTTGCAGCCACACCAGCCAGGAGAAGGACGTCAAACTTGAATTCAGAAATCGGCTCACCAACGCATGCTTCAATTCATCTCTGTTGGAGGGTATTTTTCCCAGGAGCCCCCCGCGCCCAAGGGAGACTTGCACCCCAGTGTGGTTGATTCTTCCGTTTCACCCCCACTGGTGTAAACTAATCGCTAAAGCAGTTAGCGTTTTCAATTCCAACCCTTTTTTCCAGCGAATGCTGGGCGAATCGGGCTTGCAGGTTTCCCCCGTGAGGGTGGCCTGGCGGAGCTATCTGCCATCTCTTCGGGGGCGGATGGCTTCGGACAGGGCCCGAAAAATCAATAATTTGAATGAGATTTTTCGCACTGAATATGGCTTCCATGGAGGTTGGTTGGGGCGGTAGGTGGCTGCGTGTGTGTGCCGGCGCTCTCTTCCCTGCGCCGCTCACCGCAGCAATTTTAGACACAAGTTGAGTTGTGGCAGGATCTAAACACCAGTTCACTTTCTGTAGAAGTGTCAGCTTGAATCGAAGAGCCATTGCATAAACAGATCGTCGAGGAACTTGTCTGCTTGAATCGCCGAGGAGCCCCCTTTCCACAGGGAGGATAGGAGTGGAGAAAGCAGGCAGGCAACGACGACCGCGCAGGCGGGAGGCCGGAGTCAGGCGGGCGGGCGGGTTGGCGCGGGGCAGATCGCACCTCCCTGCGATTCGCGGCAACAGCCGTTACCCGCCCTCCCACCTTGTGGCGGCACGGTCGCGCCAGCGCCGTTTGGGAATGGCCAGGGGTAGCTAACTCCCAAACGGCGCCAGCCTCGGCCCCCTCTCCCCCCCTCTCCCCCCCAGTAACGGCCGTTATCGCCAGGGGATTCAAAACTGGGCCCATGCGTTCAAGGATTCGCAAGAGTACTACGCGGCCCTCGCTTCTGGAGCCCGCGCGAATCGATACGAAGTCTGGGAGGTCTGGGACATCCTGAAACGTACCATTATCAGGACTCCTTGTTCCTCTGAGTTCCTGGCATGGTTGTCCTGAGGCTGCCCCGGATCGCAGATCGATCGAGCCGCTTGCACCATCGAGCCGATCTGGCCGAGACCCCACCCTCCGCGGAAAGCGGGAGCTGTCCCTGGGGGGCGGATGATCAAATCGGGGCGATGCCACGCGCAGACATCGGCAAGCATCATCGCGAATCATGGATAGGAGGACGCCAACTATACACCTGCACCGATCCTGGCCAGAATCATCCTGGGCCCAGGATCGGTGTACCCGGCCTCCCGGCTTGGGCAGGAAGGCGAATGCACCGATCCTTGGGCCCCCGACTGGCCTGGCCAGGATCGGTGCAAGTGTGCACTCGGTGCCCTCCGAGTGGAGAGGCCTGTCCTGAACACGCCCCGTAGCCCCACGTCCTCCACGAACACCTGCCCGCCGCCCTGGCTCCGAGCGACGACGCAGTGCACTTTGGCGAGGAGGCGGTCCTCGACCAGCACGGGCAGCAGCCCCGGGAAGCGCCGCACGAAGGCCGCCAGCGAGTCGGCGTCGGAGCCGACCACCGCGCCCTCGCCGACCAGCGGCGCGGCGGGCAGCCGCTCCGGGTGCGACCCGGCGGGCGCCAGGGCGCCCCACGCGCGAGCCTGCAGCCTGTCCCTCGCGCGGCAGACCGCGCTCCTCACGCGTGCGAGCTCGCCGCCCGCCTCCCGCTCCTCCCGGGCGCACGTGGCCGCCAGGTGGGCCTCGGCGGCGCGGGCCACCGCGTCCACGCCGAGCTGCAGGCCCAGCGCCGCGCAGAGCGCGGCGCAGCAGGCCAGCGGCGGCGCGGCGGAGGGCAGGCACGGCCGCAGGGACGCGGGCACCGCGGGCAGCCTCGGGAGCTCGGGGCCGCTGGCGCGGCTCGCGGCGGACACCCTGCGGCGGACCTCCGCCTCGCACCACAGGACGGCCTGCGCCCCGCCGAGCAGCGCCGCGGCGGCGCGGGCAGCGAAGGCCAAGAGAGTCGAGGCGCGGGCCGCCCAGGCCCACGCGCGCTCCGCGCCAGGGGCCGTGGTGCCGCCAAGCCGCGAGGCAAGCCTGGACGTGCATCGCCTCGCCGCCGCGGCGCGCAAGCCGGAAGGCCAGATCGCGCACATGCCTGCGACGAGGTAGAAGCCGGCGCTGCCGGCAGGCAGGAGCCACAGAGAGGCCAGCAGGTAGAAGGACGCGGGCCCCCGCAAGACCCACAGGAGGATGAAGCCCAGGGCCAGGCCAGGGGGCATGGTCTCCATCGTCGCGGCCAGGGGATGCAACCCTGACCGAGTGGCTTGAGCCTCCGTGAAATGATCCGTGCGCAGCTGTTGCAAAGCTTTGGGCACGACTGCGCGCGGGGCTTTGGCGAGAGCCACATTTCTGGGATTTTGGGAACCACCTGCCCTCCATCCGTGTAGCTGGTGTAAGTGTTCAAGACGAATGTGCGCGGTGCTTAGGCGAGATCAAGTTGTTGGAAACCACATGCCGTGCATCTACGTAACTGTTGGAGGCTGTCAAGCCGAGTACATATGTGCGGCGCTAAAATGAGAGCCACGGTCCCCAAGCAGTGGTTGCACCACGGGTTTCTTGCTTGCCTTGTAAGTAATTGGGTTGTTCTGGGGCCGCCCGTGGCCGTCTCGCGGCCGCCACTTGGAGTGGCTGGGCGTTCCAAGTTTCGCCATCTCCGCCCGTGGCCGCCAGGTGGCCGCCCCATGCGTTGGCTGGGTTTCCCACACAGCTTGTGCCCCATGTGTTGCGCGACGTGAACTTCTTTGCCGAAAAAACTTGGCGCGACAGCAATTTTGGGACAGTTTCTTATTGCATGGACGCGTTACGTGGCATTGCTTGGCATGGCTTGGCATATTGCTAAGCTTTGCATCTGTTTTGTCTTTGCTTGGCATTGCGTAGCACTGCTTGGCATTCATTGGTTTTGCTTGGTATTGCCTGGCGTTGCTTCACACTGCGTGACATTGCTTGACATCGCTTGGCATTGCGTGGTTTTGCTTTGCGTGGCAGCAGAGAACCAAGACTAAAGAACCAAGGAACCAAAACCAAGTAATCAAGGAATCAAGTACGCAAGACCAAGGAACCAATGAACCAATACCAAATAAACTAAATATGACAGCAAAGAGCCAAGACCAGGGAGCCAAGGAGCCAAGACCAAGGGATCAAAGAACCAACACCAAAGAACCAAGGAACCAAGCCCAAGGATCCAAGACTAAGGAACCAAGGAACCAAGACTAAGGAACCCGAGGAAGACCACTGTAAAGAAACATAGCCAAGGAACCCAAGGGAAGGCCGAGCGAACAGGCCTCCCACCCACCGATTCCCTTCAAGAGCAAATCAGAACCCCATGGGCAAAGCCTGATTCGGGAAAAGGTGCCAAACTGTACCCCAACCCTGAGCCATTCCGCATGGTTTTTTCCCCTAACCTTCCTTGGTTGGGCATTCGTTTTGAATAGAGCACTGCTCGCGCGTCCTTCCTTCCTTCCTCCCGCCTCCTCCATCCTCCTGCCCTCTCTTCGCCGTCGATGGGGGCTCCTCTTGCCTTGTGCGTACCTCTTGTGTCTGCATCTTGCCTGCAGTATAGCGGGGTGTGCTGCGATCTGCGAAACTGTCGCCAATTTCGAGGGCTGCTGGTGTGTCCAGCGGAGTGAGGCACCGCGCAGATCTGAGCGGGAGCTCGCCGTCCCTGGGGGGCTGCGATCTGCGAAACTGTCGCCACTTTCGAGGGCTGCTGGTGGGTCCAGCGGAGTGAGGCACGGCGCAGATCTGAGCACTACCTGGCCAACCCTGGGGGGGCTGCGTTATGCGAAACTGTCGCCACTTTCGAGGGCTGCTGGCGAGTCCAGCGGAATGAGGCACAGCGCAGATCTGAGCGGGACCTCGCCGCCCCTGGGGGGCTGCGATCTGCGAAACTGTCGCCACTTTTGAGGGCTGCTGGCGTGTCCAGCGGAGTGAGGCACCGCGCAGATCTGAGCGGGAGCTCGTCGACCCTGGGGGGGCTGCGATCTGCGAAACTGTCGCCACTTTCGAGGGCTGCTGGTGGGTCCAGCGTGGTGAGGCACCTCGCAGATCTGAGCGGTAACTCGCCGTCCCTGGGGGCTGCGAACTGCGAAACTGTCGCCACTTTCGGGGGCTGCTGGTGGGTCCTGCGGAGTGAGGCACCGCGCAGACCTGAGCGGGACCTCGCCGTCCCTGGGGGGCTGCGATCTGCGAAACTGTCGCCACTTTCGATGGCTGCTGGTGGGTCCAGCGGAATGAAGCACGGCGCAGACCTAAGCGGTAGCTCGCCGTCTCTGGGGTTTTGCGATCTGTGAAACTGTCGCCACTTTCGAGGGCTGCTGGTGGGTCCAGCGGAGTGAGGCACCGCGCAGACCTGAGCGGGACCTCGCCGTCCCTGGGGGGCTGCGATCTGCGAAACTGTCGCCACTTTCGAGGGCTGCTAGTGGGTCCAGCGGAGTGAGGCACGGCGCAGATCTGGGCGCTACCTGGCCAACCCTGGGGGTCCGCGATCTGCGAAACTGTCGTCATTGTCGAGGTCTGCTGGTGGGTCCAACGGAGTGAGGCACCGCGCAGATCTGAGCGGGGCCTCGCCGTCCCTGGGGGGCTGCGATC